AGTTAAAGAGTAAGTTAAGTTTAATGACCAGTACTTTCTCAAGGAAGTCAAGACCAGGTGTGGTGGCTCATGTCTGTAATCCCAGCTACTCAGGAGGCTGAGGCAGAAGAACGGCTTGAAACCGGGAGGCGGAGGTTGCAGTGACCCGAGACCGCACTACGGCACTCCAGCCTGGGCAGCAGAGCGAGACTCCGTCTCAAAACACACAGACACACACAAAAACTACATGATTTTCTGTAACTATGCTTGATAACCTAGAAGGAATAGAGTAAAAGATGGTGTGCTTCACCCAACTTGGGAATTGGTAAAGCAGAGACAGAACAATGGGGGGGGAGGGTCAAGGGGATTCAGGATGCTGGTCTGAGGCAATAGAACCGAAACAGACAAACTTGAAACAACACACTTTATTTCAGTGACAAGTATTTTAATAAAAATTAAGAGGCATGGTTGGGTTCATAAGAAGTAGTTTTTTTTTTTTTTGAGACAGAGTCTCACTCTGCCGCCTAGGCTAGAGTGCAGTGGTGTCATCTTGGCTCACTGCAACCTCTGCCTCCTGGGTTCAAGTGCTTCTCCTGCCTCAGCCTCCCAAGTAGCTGGGATTACAGTAATCCGCCAAATTTTTGTATTTTTAGTAGAGATGGGGTTTCACCATCTTGGCCAGGCTGGTCTCGAACTCCTGACCTAGTGATCTACTCGCTTTGGCCTCCCCAAGTGCTGAAATTACAGGCGTGAGCCACTGTACCTGGCCTACAAGCAGTGGCTTTCAAACCTGATTTCCTCCTTACATATATAAAACAACTAAACTTGTCAACTTGTGTTCTACAGGTTTCCTCAAAGTCTCTTACAGTATTTTAGTTTCGTATAAAACAGTCTTTAAGCTGGGCGCAGTGGCTTATGTCTGTAAACCCAGCATTTTGGGAGGCTGAGGCGGGGGATCACCTGAGGTCACGAGTTTGAGACCAGCCTGACCAACATGGAGAAACCCCATCTCCACTAAAAATACAAAATTAGCTGGGCATAGTGGCACACACTTGTGAGGTACTCAGGAAGCTGAGGCAGGAGAATCACTTGAACCCTGGGAGGCAGAGGTTGTGGTGAGCTGAGGTTGTGCCACTGCACTCCAGCCTGGGCAACAGAGTAAAACTCTGTCTCAAAAACAAACAAAGAGCCTTTAAGGTAAACACAAATGCAAATCTGTTAACCAACAGCTGTTCTTTGGGTTACTGTTTAGGATGCTGTTCTTTTTAGCTAATAAGCAATCTTACATTTCATTTTTGTCTGACCTGTTAACAAGTTTATAAGTCAAATTAGTTGGATCAGGCAGTGAATTGCAGTGTAAAAGCCAAATGCCTTGTTCGTACACAGGTTTGCATTTATCAGACCTTAGTGGGGCTGGAATGGAAGGTCAGCCGAGGGGTAGTGTGAAGTAACAGGTTAGTGAGTTTTCAGTGGTCTCTGAAGAGGCTAACACTGTAAAGGAGGATGTAAATATGTTCTGAACTTTAACAGTATCAGGAAGACAATGGTCAAAAGAATGAGCAGTTGTTATAGTATTTCTTCATGAAATTTAGGTAGTTTTTCCTTATTCTACCCATTGAACTGGCACATGAAAATGTATGTTTTCTTAGATGTCTCTTCTTCCTAAGGCCAGTCCAGGTTTAATCATTTAAAATACAGTATATGAATTGCTTTTTTACAACCTGCCTCTTTTAAAATGGTAAAAAATAAGTATAATGTTATCTCTTCAAGTCTTTGCCTATGCCAGTACAGTATATACTGTATACACATTTTGTCTGAGAGACAAACACAGTCAGCTACTGTTTCACCTCGCCAGTGAAAGGGCATTATTTGAAATTAAGTCCAGATACTCTCCTTGTTTAGCTCAGGTACAACTACAGAAGACCTAAGCATCACTTACCACCTACATTTGTTTTTTCCTGGTGAGAGCATTTGCAAATCACAATGGCACTTGTGGAACCTCTATGGAGAAAGGCAATCTTCCAAAAAGCAAATCCTCTCCATGAGGTAGAGTATGGAAACCCTGGAGGAGACTAAAATGCAGGACTCAAATCTTAGATCTCTGGGCTAACCTTTTGAAACACCTCTGCATTGTAACACTTGACTTTACCTGAAACTGAGACAGAATATTCAACTGTTTACCTTCCATTGTTCACATTCCAAAGGAAGGATATCCTCTGAAAAAGGTCCCAAAGATAAGCAAGCTTCCTCTTCCAACTTCTCATAGAAGTAGTAAAGAACCGTTTCTTTTCTTTTTTTGAGATGGTGTCTCACTTTGTCGCCCAGGCTGGAGTGCAGTGGCGCTATCTCAGCTCACTGCAATCTCCACCTCTGGGTTCAAGCAATTCTCCTGCCTCAGCCTCCCAAGTAGCTGGGATTACAGGCACCTGCCCACCACATTCGGCTATTTTTTTTTTTTGTATTTTTAGTAGAGACGGGGTTTTGCTATGTTGGCCAGCTGATACTGAACTCCTGATGTCAAGTGATCCACCCGCATTGGCCTCACGAAGTGCTGGGATTACTTATGGGTGTGAGCCATCACGCCTGGCCTAAGAACCATTTTCTTTTTACTAGTTTTTGTGAATCTCCAAAAATTTCCAGCCAACTAAATCTAGAATAGTGAATCCTAGGCCTTAAAAACTTGTGACCAGACAATTTGGTAGCTTTAATCATTAGTTTACTAAAGAAACAGAACTATTTTGTGAGCTAACAAAATTAACACAGGCAGGCACTCTCCTGTAATGAGTGCTATTCACACTCCAAAAGGTCAGATGTTTTGTGATTAAGTCCTAGTAGTCATGAACAAAGGAATGTCTTCCTAAAATAACAAAATGAGGTTTTTCATGAATGACAGAGTTAGCTTACCTTGATCCTTTAAATATTTAAGAAGCACAAAGTAACTATTTTCTTTTTTTTTTTTTTCCTTTTTTGAGACAAGAGTCTTGCTCTGTTGTCCAGGCTGGAGTGCACTGGTACAATTTTGGCTCAACCTCCAGCTCCTGGGTTCAAGCGATTTTCATGCCTCAAGGCTTCTGAGTAGGTACAGACACCCAACCCCATTCCTGGCTAATTTTTTGCTATTTTTAGTGGAGGTGGGGTTTCATTATGTTGCCAGGCTGATCTTAAACTCCTGGCCTCAAGTGATCCACCTGCTTCGGCCTCCCAAAGTGCTGGGGTTACAGGTGTGAGCCACTGAGCCTCATGAATAAATTAATTTTTCTTTTTTCCAATTTTTTTAAAATTGCATTTTAGGTTTTGGGGTACACGTGAAGAACATGCAAGATTGTTGCATAAGTACACACATGGCAGTGTGATGTGCTGCCTTCCTCCCCATCACCTATATCTGGCATTTCTCCCCATGCTATCTCTCCCCAACTCCCCACCCCCCATAAATTAATTTCTATTTAATTCCTTTGTTGAGTTGTATTCAAGTAGCTAATTCTTTGCAATGAAACTCACACTACTTGTTTTTCCTAAACTAGGTAGGAGTTCTAGGTTCTAAGTGTAGTACAGACAGTTTTGTTTTGTCATCACCGAAATAAAATCAAAAAGTGTTTTGCATTTTTCAGTAATATGACGTCTTTAAAGTTGTTGTGAGATACTGATTGATATAGAAACATAAATGATGACCAGAATTGGGTATATTTTTTCCTCCTTAATATACTACTACATTTTCCAGGAAAAACAGCCTACTTATGAAGATCGCATAGCTGGAAGCAGAAATACTATTGTGCTGGGTCTTATCCTGAACCTGTTTTTAAAGATTGTAACTAAATAAACAGCTCTGCTTCATTGAGGGAGAATCCTGTTTTGTGTAAAAGTCTTGGAAGGAGGTATTCCACAGGAGTCCACTCCCCCTTTTTATCTGTCATCTTCAAACCATGCTAGAGAGATCTTTTTCGGAAATGTTTGTCAGTATACTTTATGCAAGTCCCCATCTATACCAGATCCCAAATCCCTCCCCCCATACTAGACACTTTTAAAACCAAACTTAACGTGATAAAAACCACACAAAACCCCAAAATAATCCAAACAAACAAAAACTGGTCTGAGGAAATTATAAAGTCTCCTTTTAAGGGCCCATAAGATGCTAGGATAGCCAGAGCTTTGGGTGTTTCAGAAATTTAAGTCGTTACACACATATCCCAGGGTGGTCAGCAAGGCCTTTACACATTTAAGCTCTGAAGCTTAATCAAATTTCACATACAGGTGGAAAGCCAATCTCTTCTCCACAGACTTCCTCCCCTCCATTCCAATCTTAATTCTGACATAATCCACACTTAGACTGACAGCTAGTACAATTTCTAGCTGGAATGTGGGAAGATAAATAAAACAAAACTACCCTAGGTTGGAAATAGGCAGTAAGATGTCCTGAAAGTTATAAACAAGAATGGAGTATTTTGCTACGTAAATGTTATCAATATCTCATAGACTGGATAAACAGAGGCACTCATCAGAAAATGTCCACTGCTCTAAACACTACAAAGAATTTGGTCCATGTGTGTCAGAGAACGCAAACACACAGTTACTTTCTCTAACCCAAGTTTCCTGTATATTTTAGCTAGATCATATAAGAAAACTTTAAATCAAGGCCGGGCGCGGTGGCTCACGCCTGTAATCCCAGCACTTTGGGAGGCCAAGGCGGGTGGATCACGAGGTCAAGAGATCGAGACCAGGATGGTCAACATGGTGAAACCCCGTCTCTACTTAAAATACAAAAAAAATTAGCTGGGCATGGTGGCGCGTGCCTGTAATCCCAGCTACTCAGGAGGCTGAGGCAGGAGAATTGCCTGAACCCAGGAGGCAGAGGTTGCGGTGAGCCGAGACCGCGCCATTGCACTCCAGCCTGGGTAACAAGAGCGAAACTCCGTCTCAAAAAAAAAAAAAAAAAAGAAAACTTTAAATCATTATGTTTCATTAATGTGGAATTGGACGTGATCTCCGATCTTGGGGCTGCAGGTACTTGACCAAACTACTAAGCTATCTATATCACAGGTTTATTTGAAAGCTTCTGAGTATGAAGGTTCTTGTATCAAATGAGGATTCAAGAGGGGGATGAAAAAACTGTACTTGTCAGTTTAGAAAGTCACAGAGTTTATCATTCTATAATTAGATGGAGGAAAATGAAGAACCCACTGGAGCAGGAAGAAGCAAGAGTCTTCTAAGGTCTGGCATCTGCAAGTAAATGGAGGAAAAACAGTTCTCAGTTCCTTTCAATGAAAAAAGCACCAACTACATCGGACAATGGGCCACACAACTATAACCAATTAAATTATCTTGGTCTGCCGGAGAAATCTGCCGTTGTTAATGGCAGAACACCAACTACCTTCTGGCCCTTAGCTCTTTAGTACCACTGAGCACAGAGAAACTTGTTAATGGAATTAAAAACATTCTATACAGAAATCAATGTACACTCCTGTGTCAAGAGTTTCGCAAGTGAGGAGAACAGCAGGCAGTTGGCTCATTCAGACAATTGATTAACTCCAATTAACTTATCTTGATCTTTTTTTTACATACTGTATTTACTTATAGTTCAAAAAGTTTTTGAGCTTTTACAATGTACACTGGGGACAAAAATTAGTATGGTATTACCTGCTTCTGAGGTGCTTGTCTAGTAAAAAGTGGAGTTGTTGATAAAAACAAATAGGATAAAGCACATTAAGTGCTAAGTGAACAGACCCTTGTCATGTACGTACATTCAAAAACATTTCACCCACACTTACGTTCCTTAAGGGCATAGTCATATCTTTTCTTTTGTATCCTTCCAAAGAAACTAGAGAATTCTGCAACAACAGACATTGAAAATAATACTTCATGGCTGAGCACGGTGGCTCACGCCTGTAATCTTAGCACTTTGGGAGGCCAAGGTGGATCACCTGAGGTCAGGAATTCAAGACCAGTCTGGCCAATATGACAAAACACCGTCTCTACTAAAAATACAAAAATTAGCTTGGTGTGGTGGCGCATGCTTGTAATCCCAGTTACTTGGGAGGCTGAGGAAGGAGAATCGCTTAAACCTGGAAGGTGGAGGTTGTAGTGAGCCGAGATGGTGCCACTGCACTCCAGCCTGAGTGATGAGAGTGAGACTCCATCTCAAACAAAACAACAAAAAAACCCCTTCATTTTTAAGATGATAAGGTCTGTGGCTGCTTAAGGATTCTTATCTAACCTATTTTTCTGATTCCTCAGGAGTTACACAGGAAAATAAATTTCTTGTGTGTAAGGAGTTGAACCGCAAAGAGTTAAGTTCTAAAGGTGAAATGGGTCTGGTCTTAAGTTACAGACACAGAAATTACTCCTAGGTTTTCATCTTAGAGTAGCCATTTTTACTAGACAGCTATTTATATTGTTTGATCGCTAGACATCTTATATAGCATATTGGAGAGGAACTGAAAGTTCACCATTTATCCAGGTCTGCTCAATGTATGCTTCTCTTCCAATCCCCCCTTGTTTTTAGAGACAGGGTCACTATGTTGCTCAGGCTGGTCTTACATTCCTGGGCTCAAGCAATCCTTCTGCCTTGGTCTCCCAAAGTGTTGGGATTACAGGTGTGAGTCACTGTGGCCAGCCCTCCCTGCTTTTGTTTAAGAGACAAGGTCTCACTATGTTGCTGAGGCTAGAGTACAGTGGCTATTCACAGGCACAGTCATGGTGTACTATATCCTTGATCTCCTGGGCTCAAGTGATCCTCCTGTCTCAGCCTCTCAAGTAGCTGGAATGACAGGTGCATACCACCATACTCAGTGTATCCTTTTCTGATGCACCCCAGTGCTGTTGTATTTCTTTTCCTTTGGGGACTAAATCCCATTTTCTGGCTTTCAAATGTATTTAACAATTTGACATCAGAATCTACTAGGAAAAATGGCTGGTACCTAGATAAGTATTATTGTCTATAGCTAAGGGATGTTAACTTTTAGCATCTCTTTTCTTCTTCTTACCAGAAGAAAATCAGTCTTACCACAAAATGAAACTAACTCAAAGATTTATCTACTTCACTGTTCAGAGAGAGTGAACAGACTGGAATGCAAGAGGCCAATTATTCATTAATTCAATAAATATTCACTAAGGGCCTACTAACTGCAAAACAGTTGGGATATGATCTCATTCTCAGCCTTTGCAACATTCCCTTTGCCAAAAGCAATGTGGCTGGGCAACCTCAGCCAAGGCAACACTTGAAGACTCAAACTTGGCTCTGCCATAGGCACATGGGTAACTTAAAGGAAAAGCTTCATCTGTGAAAAGTGAGAGAGATTTTGGTCTCTTCATACAGATTTTGTGAGGTTCTGCCAAATCAAATACTCAGGTATTTTGATCAACAGTGTAAAACTCTTAGAAACTCAACACTTTTATTTTTTAAAATTTATTTTATTTTTGAGACATAGTCTCACTCTGTGGCCTAGGCTGGAGTGCAGTGGCACGATCTCAGCTCACTGCAGCCTCTGCCTCCTGGTTCAAGCAAATCTCCTACCTCAGCCTCCTGAGTAGCTGGGATTACAGGCACTTGCCACCCATGCCCAGCTAATTTTTGTATTTTTAGTAGAGACAGGGTTTCACCATGTTGGCCAGGCTGGTCTCGAGCTCCTGACCTCAAGTGGCCTGCCCACCTCGGCCTCCCAAAGTGCTGAGGTTACAGGTACGAGCCACTGCACCCGGCCAGAAACACAAAACTTTCAAGTGCTCATTAAAAAGAGTATGAATTTTTTGATGAGTATTAAACTGTACTGCACAGGGAATGAATGGCAGAGCAATGAAGCACAGCTGTCTGATTAATCTCAGTCCATTAAAAGAGGCGTGATAGATCTAGAATGCAACTTTGATTAAAAAAAAAGAAGGCAATGTGTACTAATGTTAGAGAAAACAACTTGGCATGTTAACAGAATTCTAATTTAACCAGTAGATGCCTATTCATTAGTGTGTAAAGCCATAACAGAGGCTATATACTTAAAAAACACATGCACACACAAAGCTTTAATTTGGTACCATAATCTGAAAGAAAATTGGACCCAAATTGCTTTATGTCCAGTTAAATCTTGCTACCATATGAAGAGATAGTGAAATAAAGCTGAAACACTTACTTGATGAGATAGGTATTCAGTTACTGTGTATTTCCATCTACAAGTAGAAATATTTCAAAATAAATACACCATGCCAATTGAAATTCACTCCATCCCCTATTCTTACTAAACACAAATGACTTATTCCTGGGTATACTGAATTATAATATAAAAGTAGAAGAATTTAATATTAGTAATCAGATTTCATTCAAAAGCATGGGAAAAGAAAATAGGCCCTCGCCTATCAAGCTGTTTGGCATATAATTTGGTGACTTCGTTTTTTGGGAAATGGAAGTATCCGAAGAGAAATGTTTTAAAGTGAATCCTCTAGCCACCTAAAAATTAGCTCAAGCAGTAGCAAAGACTGAAATAAAGAGAATCTGAATCTGTGGGCAACATTGGAAAAGAAAAGTTTATATTAAGTAAAAATGACAGTATCTTGGGTGTTCCCTATGTGGAAATTTCATTATGAGGGTAATAAGATACAAATGTAGTCCCTGTCTACAGCCATACCACCCTGAACGTGTCTGATCTCATCTGATCTCGGAAGCTAAGCAGGGTTGGGCCTAGTTAGTACTTGGAAGGGAGACAAACGTAGTCCTTGTTTACTCAGCATGACCTCTGAAGTCTAGGGAGGACATCTGAATACCATTCTTTATGCTGGTTCCTATGACTTATGACTTTCATTTTCTCTCTGTACTCATTTCGTTTTCAGTCCTCACAATCCAATTTCTGATCCCAATTCCCTACTGGTATTATGCCTTGAAACAAATCAGGGATGGCTTCCTCCTGGTCCAAATCATCAGCCTTTTTATTGGCTCCCAATTTTTCTCGTGATATTTGATGTCGGTGGTCATCCCATCTTGAAAATATTCTTTTGGCTTCTGTGATCTTATACATTCCTGTCCATAATTTCTTGCTGATTTCCTAATATAGGATCAGTAGGGTGAACTGAGTAAAGTGCTTATGGAATACAATTTAAGGAGACACTCACTTTAAGGGTCATGGAAGTACAAGGTCTTCAGACTGAACACGTCTGAATAATCAAGATCAACTGTATCTAGCACAATAGAAAGAGTAAAACTATTTTGCCTCCACTTCACTTACTGTTTTTCCATGGCAGAATATACGGCAGAGATTTGGGAACTCGCATGCCTGAAGCCAGGTTATTCTTATGTTCCATAACTATGTTGTTTGCAGGGCTGCAAAAAGATGAATTTAGCTATGTTGGCAGATCAGTATCATTCAAGCAGACACACGTAAGATAATCAAGATGTGTTTTTTGTAATTTGGGGAAAAACAACCACCTACATTCATCTGAAATGTAAACACATTTCCATCAAAACGTTCCGGCAATTAGAATGATTACCACTTACTTCTCTGGAAAGCTCCCTGTTCTGTACAGGCATTAAGATGGGTCTAACCATTTTCATTTTCTAGAAATTGAGATAAACAGCAATGCCATCTACTGTTCAGCTGTATGACAGGCTCATCAACTCACTCAATAAACATAAGAGATAAAATAAAGTGCTAAGACAACCAAACCAAAAGCAGCAAATCTTCAACTGAGGTAAAATTAAAAGTTGTAGCCAACTGAATTCATTTTAAGTTTTTCTATCTTGGTGCACATAAAATAGTATATACTTAAAATTATTTACTGATCTCAATAGTTAAAAAATAAAAACTTGATAAGCATTCTATTTGGGGAAAAAAGTGAAGTCTAGCCTCTTATTCCTTTATTTCCTAAACCAGAAATAATCTCATTTGGGTTTGAAATTTGATCTTCCAAGGTTGCAGTAGTGGTGGTAATGAGAAATAGTTTCATTCTTTCTTATTTATTTGCAAGGACTCATTATGTAACCCAGGCTGAAGTGCAGTGGCACAATCATGGCTCACTGCAACCTCGACCTCCTGGGCTTAAGTGATCCTCTGGTCTCAGCCTTCCAAGTAGCTGGGACTATATATAGGCATTCACCACCATGCCCAGCTTATTTTGTTTTTAAAAATTTTTTTTGTAGAGACAGGATCTCACTGTGTTGCTCATGTTGATTTTGAACTCCTGGCCTCAGCGATCCTCCTGCCTTGGCCTCCAGGTATGAGCTGCTCTGTGCCTGGCCAGAAATCTTATAGTTTTAGAGCTGGGCATGATGGCTCAGGCCTGTAATCCCAACACTTTGGGAGGCCAAGGAGGGTAGGATTAATTGAGGCCAGGATTTTGAGACTAGCTTAGGCAACATAGTGAGACCTTGTCTCTACTATTAATAAAGAATTAGCTAGGTGTGGTGGTGAGTCCCTATAGTCCCAGCTATTTGAGAGGCCCAGGGGAGGAGGATCGCTTGAGCCCAGAAGGTAGAGCCTGCAGTGGGCCATGATCATGCCATTGCACTCCAGGCTGGTTGACAGATTCCCTGTCTCTCCAAAAAAAAAAATTAGATATAAAATCAGTGGGAAGAAGAGATGCATATTCTTTCCTAATAGGTACTCTGGATTTTCCAATCTCAAATAAAGAATTTTTAGCTGGGTGCGGTGGCTCACGCCTGTAATCCCAGCGCTTTGGGAGGCTGAGGCGGGCGGCTCATCTGAGGTCGGGAGTTTGCAACCAGTCTTACCAACACGGAGAAACCCCATTTCTACTAAAAATACAAAAATATCTTGGCATGGTGGCACATGTCTGTAATCCCAGTTACTCGGGAGGCTGAGGCAGAAGAATCGCTTGAACCCGGGAGGCAGAGGTTGCAGTGAGTCAAGATCGTGCCATTGTACTCCCTCCCACCTAGGCAAAAATTGTGAAACTCTGTCTCAAAAAAAAAAAAAAAAAAAAAAGAGAATTCTTAAGAAGACCTTTTCCTTAACACTAGTTACCTAAAGTAAAAATGATCCAAGTGGTATAGTGGGGAAATTTTTTCAAAGCATTAAAATAATGTAAACCTGCTGGGTGCAGTGGCTCACGCCTGTAATCCCAACACTTTGGGAGGCTGAGGCAGGCAGATCACTGGAGGTTGGGAGTTCGAGACCAGCCTCACTGACATGGAGGTACCCTGTCCCTACTAAAAATACAAAAAATTAGCTCGGTGTGGTGGTGCATGCCTGTAATCCCAGCTGCTTGGGAGGCTGAGGCAGAAGAATCGCATGAACCTGGGAGGCGGAAGTTGCAGTGAGCTGAGATCATGTCATTGCACTCCAGGCTGGGCTACAAGAGCAAAACTCTGTCTCAGAAAACAAAACAAAACAAAAAGTAAACCTAGTAAAAAACAACATAACTAAGACACATGAATGTCTGGGACCACTGTTTCCCTTGCTAAACTATAATGTATTTTTGTATCCCTCATGATTAGCACAAAGCACATGACCTTTTTATGAATCAAGAACTTATATGAAAAAAATGCCAAAATAATATCTAAACTACCATCAAGGAACATCATTAAAGAAAGTGGTCAATTTGGCCAGGCGCGGTGGCTCAAGCCTGTAATCCCAGCACTTTGGGAGGCCGAGGCGGGCGGATCACGAGGTCAAGAGATCAAGACCATCCTGGTCAACATGGTGAAAC